ACAATTTTTATACTTTTTAAACTTTTGATAACAGGGTGCTAACGGTGCCCCTTTCCACTAGCATTAAGCACTCTACTGACGTCGTATCGCCGCGCGTGCGCAAAACAGCCTAGCCCCAATCGCAACACTGATCACTGATCCCGAGTGCCGGCTGGCGAGCAGGGCCCCGGCGAAGGAAAAGGGCCGTTTGGCGACCGTTTAACCGCCGAGACGATAAAGAGGGCGGGAAAGCGGAAGCGCCGCGGCGCCAACGCTTCTCACCCTACCGTCGCCATTGAAGAACGTGGCGGCGGACCTGATGGAGGGACGAGTGGGGGGGGGGGGCTCGGTTTCACCGGCGCCGACGCCGGTTAGGTTAGGGTTAGGTTTTCGGCTTCGATTCTGGCGCCGTGTATTGCCCGGTTTACCGGGGGATGCATCATGGTTTGGCCGGAATTGGAGAACCCCAGCTCTCAGGGGGCCCGAACGCGTCCCCAGGTTGCGGATAGGGGCATGACCTCTAGTTGAGCCAACACCTCCGCCGAGCGCTACACGACCGCATGATTGTGTGCGTGCCGGAACCCCACCACGCGCCATCCCCCACTACCGTGGTAGCTAGGTGGCAGAAACGCAAATCTGAGATCACTGGGCCCGGCCTGGCTGAGGTGTTGGCCTTGTGTAAAGCCAATTTCATCTTGACCGAGCTGGACATCTCGGGCCTCCGCATGAGGAGGACCCTCACGGGGGTACCCAGAACATAAAACTCATAATGACATCATTATGACATCACTTAAGTTATTTTGGAAAAATCATAATGATCTCATTTGATACATTTTTGGCTATGTTTTGGTGACTTATTTATGACATCATAGTGACTTTAATATGACCTCCAAAAAGAAGAATATTATCTCAAATTGATTGATACACGAAATTTATTTGCATTATACATATTAGCGAGTATACATATTATTATTATAAATAACTAATAATAAATATTATTGCACACAAAATGTAGTACTTTAAGAGATCATATGTTAATAATGTAAAAATTAAAATAAAATATTTATTTTTAATGGGAAAGCAACTTAAAAAACTGCGCGTGCTTAACAGAAAATGATTTAAAAAAATAGAAGTAGTTCAAAATAGAAATTCTGACAGCCGTATTAAAATAATATAAGTACATCATGTTAATATGAAAATTAACAAATTTTCCTCTAATTATCTCTTTTAACTCTCTTTTAACTATAACGTAAAAGTACCAATGTTTGAATATGTACTTAAAATCTATGATTCTTTGCGTCCTCTTTAAATCAATTTTCAATCATTTTTGTTTGGGTAACTTTTAAGTGATGAATTAAATCATGATGACGTCATTATGACGTCATTATGAGTTTTATGTTCTACCTGGGTACCTGCCGGCCCGGGGGCGTCTGCGAAAGCGGACGCCCTCAGGGACAAAATTGCGGCAGTCGTTACGGATCCGGGGGTGCGAGTCGTCCGCCCCGAGTTGCGCAGGGAACTGCGCATTCGGGGTTTGGATGACTCAGTTACCCCTGAGGATGTCCGTGTGGTCATGTGCCAGGTGGGTGGGGGGGGGGTATATATGACATGATATAATAATCTCCTGGGGGTCGCCGCGGACATCAGTCTGGGCGGCCTTCGCCGGGGCCCGGGGGGAACCATGGGCATATGGACTCGTTGCCCAGTGCATATGGCCGTGGTCTTGGTCAGGGCCAAGACTCTGACCGTGGGGTGGGCGAGGGAGGCGGTAGAATTACTGCCGCCTCGCCCACTCCAATGTTTTAGGTATTTGGCGAGGGGCCATGTGAAGGCGCGATGCCCTGCGGAGACAGACCGCCGCGGCCGATGTTATCGGTGCGGTGGCAACGATCACCTCTCTGCGGGGTGTCGTGCCGCTCGGCCCAGCTGCGCCCTCTGTGCTGATTTGGGTCGGACTGCCGACCATCGGCTGGAGTCCGCGAGCTGCGGGGCACCCTCTGTGCCGGCTAAGCCTCGAACGCGTAGGCCTGCCCCCTCCCGGGCCGGCTCCTCTTCCCCTTCCCCGGAGAGGGAGAGGAAGTTGGCAACGGGTAAGGGGGTAAAGTACCCTGGTAAGTTTCCACTGAGAACAGGGACTGGAAAACAAGGCACATCAGCGAAGAGGAGGCCCGTCACCCGACGGGCCGCCCGCCTTGCCAGCGAACGGGGCACGTCGGCTAGGGGGCCGACCTTCGGGAAGGCCACCCGCCCCGCCATCGAAGGAGACTCAATGGACGGTACAGGGAAGGAGGAATCTGTCCCCCTCCCGTCGGGGTTGACCCCGAGGGTCTCCTTGAAGAGACTAGGAGGGGGCTATCTGTACCGGGGTGAGGCACTTAACTCCTCCCCCGATTCGGATGGCCTTGCGGATGGCCTCCTCGGCGTATGACTGATGAGGTCCTTAATAATCTCCTGGGCGGCGAGGGGATGGACGTTCAATAAACGTTCCTCTCCTCGTAACCGCCTGGGGATCATTCTCCATTTTTAGTAAGGGGTGGGACCACGGGCATTGCACCAAGCCCGTGGTTTTTATCCGCTCAGGGCCGTGACGGAGTAATTACGGGTAATAATCGCTCCGCCATTGCACTCGGCCCTGGACGTTGCGTGAGGGTGAGCTAGGTGTAGGCTCCCCTCCGCTTAGCGGGGTAGGTCTGGGGGTATTCATTATATACCCCCCTAGGAATGGTCAGCAGGGTTGGAGGGCGGCCCGACGTAATGCCTTTCGGCGGTTCCAGGTCGCCCCCTGTTTAACCCAGAGGTAGTACACCCCCAGGAGTTTTAGTTGGTAAGGTGGCGCCCCCGGTGGTTAGCACCAGACCAAGGGCGCTGAGTTCAACATATCCTCTCGGCCTTCCCGGGCCGAGGGGAATGCATGAGCATTTCTCCTGAGTTATAAAAAAGGTTAGGTTAGGTTAGGTGACAGCTTCACATAGTGATATTTTTAATTTCTCTTCGTTTTTTTATAAAGTCGACTGTTCCTGACTTTTTCTTTATGCGTACTTCAATTGTGTGAAAGAAGTGTAATTTTATAAAGTAAATTTCAAATTTAACACAAACTACGAATTAATAATTTCAAATATCAATTTTTTCATTAGATTGCTGAAGTGAGTGTTTTAAGTATGAAAATGTTCTGCTATGCAGTACGCAACTTATCCTGGTATTAGTTTGTGCATAAAAACCAATAAAAAGAATTTGACTGTGTCGGTAAAAAGGTGGCTGAGGAATCCTCATTTTTAATTTGGATATTCGAAACCTTTTTAAATATTTTATTCCTTGAAATATATAGATTTTGAATTGAAGACATACTTGTAAAATACACTTTCATGAACTATTGAAAGTGTTTGTACACACTTATGAGTAAAGTGAAAAAAATAGCAGATATTCTCAGGAAGGTATATGATAGAAGTGTACGCTAAAATGCAAATAGAAGACGGAACGCGGCACAGCTTGCGGGTTCGTGCGAAAATTAATAAGTATAAAAATGAGAGATGACTACGGTGGTGACTAAATGTCGTGATGCTAATGAACAACTACAGAGAATATTAGAAAACTATTTCCCTTAGTCAGAACGCACCTGTCACATGTGACCGTGATGCCGGAGACAGGTAAAGCTTAGGAAGGCAAAGCTTACCGAGTGTACGGAAGACGATCGGTCGGCTTCGAAACTTCTTTCCGGCCCTCACGGCGGTTACGACCAGCTGATATTGCGTGTCAGCCCGGAGGCCGCTTAAGGTGACTGCTTCGCTATTTCCCGCGACCACCGCCACCACCCTGTAACTAACCACCTTGCCGTTATGATTCTGTGTTTTACGGTCGTTCGCGCGCATCCTATTAATTGAGATATTTCCACGGAAGTATCCCAAACATACAGAGACCTGAGAGATCTCCCTAATTATTATAATTATCATAAGAAAATAATTTTCCTGCACCAGTAAAATATATAGACTAATAAGTTAAATTATTACGAATTACGTAAAAAGTTACCCGCGGTAACTTTTTCTCATTTTCTGTGTTTGTTTTTGTGAAACAAACCCTTCTTACGAAATCAAATTTGTTTACAGATTATATCGTTAACTAAAATGTTGACAGATATTATCTTTACGAGGATAAAGCTGGATACAATACGACGAAATTTGAATACTTTGAATAATGATAGACATTTTCTGGCTGATATGCTTACACTGTAAAAAAAGTGCATGTAAAATTACAATTATTATAGTAAGTAATATTGGAACCATCTATTAAAGGTATATATTTTCATACGTCAGTAAATTTACACTTTATAGGTAGAATTATTAGGTAATAAGTAAACTGCTAAACTTGCTTTTAATTGTGTAAATTTTACAACTTTTTGTAATTTTTTATCATGTATAAACAAGTGGTTACAGAATAAAGATTTAAAAAATTGTTTGTAAAAGTACATAAATTTATATATTCCGTTATTAATATGTAATTCTTGCATTTATTAGGTATATAATTTCACATACTTTTTTACAGTGTATACACCGAGATATCTACATGGGATTTTGTAAACACTCGCTAATGAATTATCACGATCAACACATTTTTGAGCATGAATACACATATCAATCATAAATAATTACACAGCCCCACAAAAAAGTTGTCTGGGCCTAAGACAAGACAAGTGTATTCTTAGTATTTTGACCACAGATATCTACAGGGTGAGTTATAAGATTTGTCCACGAGCTCGTGAGAAGGTAGAACGGATCGAGATGAACAAAAAAAGTCCTGAAACATTTTGCAATTTTCGCAATAGTTAACGAGAAAAAAATTATCGAAAATCGTCGTCTTTGCCCTGCCCACTGTCCAATTCGAGCGCGTAGCGAGATGTGACCGCCCGGCGATCGATATTGCCTGGCGAGGGGGGGGAGGGG